TGGCCCGCGCGCGCGCCCTCCGGAAGGTGAGGGGCCCACCACCCCGGGCGCCGCCGCCGCACCGGCGCCCTACTCGGTCGTGATCCCCTGAGGTCTCGGGGATCCTCGGTGGAGGTCTGATGGCTTTGCCCTGAGGCCCTTGTCGCTGTCACTTGCTTGGCTACTGAAACGGGGCGCTCCGTGCGTCTCAGGTCTTTCCGGCCCTCGTGGCTCCGTCCTAGTGTTCTGCTGGTCCTGCGCAAATCCAGAGAGTGAGCGCCTCCCAAAGTCCGGGCTAGCTGGGCAGGGGGTGTCGTTGGTGGGGCTCCACTCTGGACTGACCTCCCGGGCTTTTGAGAGTAGAGGCTCTGCCCTGGGGTTAGTGACCGGAGGCCCCGATGGGATGCCCCTCCCGTCCTGGGTTACCTATCATTCCACTTGGCCGGGCTCGTTCAGGGCACCCAGGAATCCCTGAGGGGGATACAAGAAACATTCAGATCCCCATCAAACTCCTGGCTGGCTTATAAAGTCTGAATTGGATCATTCCAAGGGTTTTCTGTTACGATTTCATCTTGGCACCAGTTGCTTCCCTCACTGATTGACATACAAGCTCCTGTTAGTCTCTTCCCAGCTATAAGAATTTCTGCACTGAATACAAGTTCTGACACAGTCGGTCCAGGTTGCGGGAGCAACAGCCATTTCCTGCTCCCCTCCATCATCTCTTGCTTTGTAGAATTTAACTTTAAAGATAACCAACTTTTGAATAATAATAATAACAAACTTATTCCTTGCTGCTTCTGGGAGAATATCCAGTATTCTGATACTTGCTGTAAGTTCTTGAGTTACATGCTTTAAATATTGTTCCTCTTGATTTTCTAAAGGGTGGACTATGCCCCCACTTGCTAAACTTCTTTTATGGTCGTGCATCGCATATAAAGACACAGTTAAACATTTCCTAGAAATACCTTCAGTGGGAAGTAGCCCCTTCCTGTGATGGAAGGAGTCTGACTTTCTCTGGTCTCCTCAGCCCAAAGTAAACATTTAAATCCTAAATTGTAAGGCTATTGCTGCAACTAGAAAAACAGTTGAGTGTCTCCAGCACTGACAAGCTTAGGAACTAATTATCCTGTTATCACTAAGACAGTGGATTTTCTCTTTCAGGTCTTTCCTTACTGGAGAAAGCCTATTGTGGGACAGAAGCAGGTTATGTATGAACTTTAACAACACAGGGCACTGCTTATTATTATTTAATTGAGATCTACTTTCTTATTCCTAATGTTTCACAAAAGCCTATTGAGTTAGACCTTGCAGTGCCACTTCACAAATTAGGAGACTGAACCCAGAAAGAGTGGAGGTTTGCTCAGTATCATGCAGAGTAATGGAAGTTCTGGAGCTTGAGACTCTGCTTTGGTTCCAAAGGGGAAGCACCTTTCTATAAGCTCTGAATTTTTAAATGTATACCATTCTGATGTCCCAGTTAGTAGAGATTGCAAGTATTTTTTTGTGAGCATTATTTCTGATCTCTTTTTCAGCGTACCCAGACTTTACTAAAGGAGTATAAAGAAAGAGATAAGTCCAATGTATTTACAGATAAACGCTTTGGAGAATACAATAGCAACATAAGCCCAGAGGAAAAGATGATGAAGAGATTTGCTCTGGAACAACAGGTATGGGGGAAAAAAATGGAAGAACATGTGTTGTAAAATTTATATAACCCAAGGGGAAAACTTTCTCTTCGTTCTTGTATAGTTCTGTGGATCCTAGGCTTTCATGTGTAGATACCTGTCTGATTAGGCCAGTGGAGGTAATGGAACTATTACTGGATGGAAGGACCTCTTACCCAGAGCAAATGACAGTAAGAAATCTGGAGTTCTTAACTGAGCAGTAACTAGCTTTGTTAGCTGAAGGACAAGTAGATGGAGGAGCATTGCTAGTGGGGAAAGACCACATGATTTACCAAATACTACTTGATTTACTAGGAGCTTAGTTGGGCCTATTGATTATTTTTTATTTTTGGTTGCTGATTACTAAGGCTTGTACTCAGGACCTTCAGCTCTTTAGCTTATTTTCTCAAGGTTGGCACCCTACCACTTAAGCCACACCTCTACTTCTGGCTTTATTCTGGTTAATTGGAAATAAGAGTTTCTCAGATTTGTTTCTTTGGTTGGTTTTGAAACATAATCTTCAGATCTCAGCCTCTTGAGAAGCTAGGATTACAGGCTTGAACCACCAACACTTGGCTGGCTCATTGATTTATTGAAGAATTCCCTTCTGAGAAGTAGGCATGGTGGAGCATAACTGTAATCCCAGCTGCTCATGAGGAAGAATTGTAGTTCTAGCTTAGCTTGGGAAAAAAAGTTACCAAGGCCCACACCTCATCTGCCTGTCATTGTAGCTACATATGAGGCCTAAATAGGACTGCAGTCCAGGTCCACCTAATAAAAGACCCTATCTGAAAAATAACTAAAATAAAATGGGGCTAAGGATGTGCCTGAAGTGGTAGAACCCTTGCCTATCTAGTACAAGGACCTGAGTTCAAGTCCCTGTCTCACCAGAAAAAAAAATTTAATTTCGCTGTGAGTTCTGGTTATATCTGAATTGTTCAAATGATCCAAGGTAATCTTAAGCCTGTTTTAACTAGATTGTCATATTTCAATGGAAAAAATTAGAATTTGCTGGGAAATAAATGGTTATTTTAAGAAAGTGATCCCCCCTCTCCCCTTTTCAGCGACAACATGAAAAAAAAAACATCTACAACCTAAATGAAGATGAAGAGCTAACTCATTATGGCCAGTCTTTGGCAGACATCGAGAAGCATAATGACATTGTGGACAGTGACAGCGATGCCGAAGAACGAGGAGCATTGTCTGGTAAGGGTCGAGGTTTGAGTGCTGGGGGCAGGGGTAGTCTGTGTGCCTTCCCACCTTCTGCTCTCTGGAGACCTCAGGAATGATGTTAAACAGAGGTTTCACCTCCTGATACTTATTCTGCACATATCCATGGTTTAAGATGGAGTCAGGTGCTAAGAAAGCACTGTAATACTCGGTTTCAGTTTTGAACATCACAGTGGCTCATTTACCAACAAGCCCATAGAAGCAGAGATGTGGAGGAAGCTCACGTGGCTGATCTGAGGAAAAGCACCCTCGCACTGAACTGCTCCGCTTTACCTCTTACTGTTTTACAAATTCTGACCCCGTGATAAATGATATGTATGTATTTCTTTCTTTTAGTTTTTGTTTGTTGTTTGATTTGGCCATACTAGAGTTTGTATTGAAGGCTTTGCTTACAAGGCAGGTGCTCTACCATTTGAGCTATGCTTCCAAACCTTTTATTTTTATTTACCATGGGAGCAATTACAGCATTTTCTTGTGGAACCCATATTGAGAGTTGCTACAGATAATAACTGATTAAATCTTGGCCTTTTTAGATACTAATATACCAGTGAAATGAAGACTCAGTTCCAAATCTAATAACCTTAGATCCTGTTTATAAAGTTGTAAGCGTAATGCTAGTTTGCATTCTTTGTAAGTTAAAGGTGTATCCCAATTTCTAATATCTTCAGATCAAAGTTATACAGAACTAAAATCAATGGGCTGAAAGCCTTGGTGTTTTTCAGTGCCTGAACAGTTAAGGCATTAAAGCTCATTACCACTTTTGGATATCTAGTTAGTCTGGGAGGCAAAAGGCTTAGGAGTTAAGATAGCCCAAGGCATAGAACCAGCTTGCTGTTTAAGGATACCAGGAGTAGTACACTGACTAAGCATTGAGTAAGAAATGGTCGGTTTTATTTTCTGTACCTTTCTCTTTGTACATTTCATTGATCAAGATTGTGGTTCATGCCTGTAATCCTTGTTATTCAGAAGGCTGAGACCTGAGGATTATGGTTCAAAGCCAGCCTGAGAGACTTTTATCTCCAATTAGCCAGCAAAATCTAGATGTGGAGGTGTGGCTCAATTGGTAGAGTGCCAGTTTTAAATGAAAAAGCTAAGTGAGAGCTTGAAGCCCTGAGTTCAAGACCCAAACTGGCACCAAAAAAAAAAAAAAAAGATGCATGCTGCACTATAAAAGTGCGTTTATTTCGGGGGTCATGCTTCTCTGTGCCCCCAAGGTAACCATTTTATTTGGTTCTTTGGTTTGGTCCTTGGTGTGGGCTGCAGTGATGGCCAGGTTTCCAGAGGGACAAAAATCCCATTATCTTTTAAGTAATGGGTCCTAGGAGTTACTGAAGATTTGCTATTACTCTTTGATTTGGTTACAAGCTCATCAGGATCAAGATAATAAAAGAAAAGCCTCTTTAAAGAGAAACATCTACTATAATTTTTTAAATGAGACAACAAAGTCTGTTGTAAAGTTGCATTCTCTTAGATCAGGAGAACTTTATCTTAATCAGCTGCCCCTGGGTCTGGGGAGGTAGCTCCGTGGTAGAGCACATCTAAAATGTGCAAGAGGCCCAGGTTCCTCTTCTGTCACCAGAAAACCCCACCAACCTTGTGAGGTAAGTGTTACTCATTTTGCAGGTTCAGAAGCTGAGACTACATACAACAGATTGGTAATTTACTTGAGCTGCTGAGATGTAGGCAGAGCTGAGCTTCATGTTCGCCTCGGGCTGGCTCCTAAACTGAGGTGTCCTGTCCTGTGTCAGTTAGTATGTCACTAACAGGTAATAACATTATTGTGCTGATGATCATTCTACATACTCAATACTGTTGGGATTTAAAAGTTTCCCAACTAAATCCCATGTGAATATGCCTAAAAGAGGATTTTTCTTTCTTTTTTCCAAGAATCCTTTTCTGACTCATTATGTAATTGTTACATTACTGCATTTTGTACAGTTTTGAGAAAATACTGTAAACATTAACTTACTAGAATATTGGTAGTGAATCATATTTTCTGATACGCTGAACTTGTCGAGAAATAGCAATCATTCATCAAATGCAGGTCTATTTGCCAGCTATTGCTCTTGGCTCTGGGGAAACCCGACTTTTGCCACTCATGGTATGTGGATGTCCCAGACAGTAAATAAAGTACATCACTGAGCTCTGCCGTTTAACCAAGGTGCAATGTGTGAGTAAAACAAAGCCAGACAGCTGGGACACGCCATCTTGGTAGTCATCACTGGCCTTTCCAAAGAAGTGGCTCCCTCTGGTAGGAGTAGTGACTCTGCAGGGCCTGAAGGGCAATATGGGAAGGTGGTGGCTGAGAGCACCTGAGTAGGGTGGTGGTGGGGATAGGGGACCTGTGGGAAGAGTGTGACTTTTATTTGGGAGGGTGATGTACGGCAGGCTTTTGTGCCATGGAGTCCATCCCATGAGAAGACAGGCCCAATTGAACTTAGGAGTGATTTGGAAGTGGGTGTGGGAGAAAGGAATCAAGGATGACTCCCAAGGTCTTTGGCCTGAGTTTCTGGGAAGCCCAGATTGCCACGTACTGCAAAGGCTGGCTTGTCCCCAACAGTTTTGAGTGGCCGAGGCTACCTCGTCTTGTGTTTTCTCAGGGAGATAGAGGTTATTAGCTGATGGTCTGTGGGGATGTGAGGAGATGGGAGGGTCATTCTAGGGACGGCATGGCTTGGTGACTTGGAACATGACTGACACCTTGAGTTTGGATTAACCAGGCAGCAGCTCACATAGGAAGTACAGCTAGAGAGGTGGGAACATGGTTGGAGTGCCAGGGCAGAGCCCTGCCAGGTGGCATGAGGCCTTAGCTCTCTGAAGGCTGCAAGGGTTAGCGTGCTTGAGGCCTGAGCTAGATGAGCAGTGTTCTGTAAATCATTTCACATGTCTGTTTACCCATCTGAGAAATTGTGGTTTTCTTTTAAGAGGTATTTTCCATTCCAGATTTGATGACTCTCCAAATGTTTTTCTTTTTTTTTGGTCCAGTCGTGGGGCCTGAACTCTGGGCCTGGGCACTGTCTCTCAGCTCTTCAGCTCAAGGCTAGCGCTCTACCACTTGAGCCATAGCGCCACTTCCGGCTTTTTTCTTTTTGCTTATGTGGTGCTGAGGAATCGAACCCAGGACCTTAGGCATGCAAGGCAAGCGCTCTACCACTAAGCCACCTTCCCAGCCCTCCAAATGTTTTTCTTTTGTCCTAATACAGCCAAGTGATCCTCCTTCCTCCTCCTCCCTACCTCCTCACTAGAGCTTGAACTCAGGGCCTGCCCTTACCATTTGAGCCACATTACCAGTCTAGATTAGTGACTGTTGATGATTTCTGCCTCTGTCATTTGCTCAAGGCTTTTTTGTGTCTAAGCCCTGTGGGTGGGGACAGGGTGTAGGTACATACCACACTGCCAGTTCCACACTCTTTTTCCTCTGCAACCCTGGTTCAGATTTTTTCTGGGTATAACAGTCTTTTTCAAAAGAGACAAAAAACAAAAACAATAGGTACTTGATTTGAGGTCTTGAGTTTTCTTGGAGTGGTGGCCAACATGTGAGTCCAAGTCTCCTGCCTTGGTTTTTTTTTTTGGTCCGGTCATGGGGCCTGAACTCTGGGCCTGGGCGCTGTCCCTCAGCTCTTCAGCTCAAGGCTTGCGCTCTACCACTTGAGCTACAGCACCACTTCCGGTTTTCTGGTGATTTATTGGAGGTAAGAGTTTCTCGGGCTTTCCTGCCCGGGCTGGCTTTGAACTGCGATCCTCAGATTGAGCTCAGCCTCCTGAGTAGCTAGGATTATAGGTGTGAACTACCGGCGCCCGGCTGAATTTTTATTTATTTATTTATTTTGCCAGTCTTGGAGTTTGAACTCAGCGCCTGTGCACTGTCTCTGAGCTTCATTTTGCTCAAGACTAGCACTTTACCAATTGAGCCACAGCACCACTTCCAGCTTTTTCTGTGTATGTGGTATTTAGGAATCAAACCCAAGGCTTCATGCATGCTAGGCAAGCACTCTACCACTAAGCCACATTCCCAGCTTTGGATGTGAATTTTTGAGAGTGCTCATGGAAAAATGTTGCAGAGTACTTCAAAGTGTTTATAACACCGGGGCCTGCTTTACACTGGTGTTTTCTGCTGTTTGTCTCCAGCTGAGCTGACTGCTGCCCACTTTGGAGGAGGGCCCCAGCTCCTGGACAGGAAGACTACTCAGGATGGTGAGGAGGAGAACAAACCTAAGTCTCGGAAAGAACTGATTGAAGAGCTCATTGCAAAGTCAAAGCAAGAGAAGGTGGGTTGGTTGATGTGCTGCATGTGGGAAGGCCCAGCAGAAGGCATACTCACAGTATGTGCTTAAGCTTTTGTCCCTGAACATTTTTAGGCTGCATGTAATATTTTATATGACCTATTTTGAATAGGAATATTTTGTCTCATTAAACATACATTTGTGCTGTTTTTTTTTTAATTCAGTGTATGTCAATATTTGCAAAAATACCACTGCTTACTACCTTGCAGTGAAAGCTATGCATGAGGGGTTTCATGTATGTTCTTACACACATTGGGCCATTCAGTTCAAGTTCAGCAATGATGGTGTGTTGTCTGTGTCTATTGTTTCTTTTCCCCAGAGGGAGAGACAGGCTCAACGAGAAGATGCCCTTGAACTCACTGAGAAGCTGGACCAAGACTGGAAAGAAATCCAAACCCTCCTGTCACATAAAACTCCTAAGTCAGAGAAAAGAGAGAAAAAGGAAAAGCCCAAGGTAGGACCTGGCTTCTGTAGCAGCATCTCATACAGCTTCCTTCCAGATAGGGCAGTTGTTCAGTTGAACACTGCTAACAAATTATCTTGATATTTGTTATATTGAGATAGAAGCAGATTTCAAGTTGCTTTAAGTATTTGCTGTGTTAGAAGTACTTCAGGTACAGGCATAGGATAGGTGTCTAAACTTCCCTGTTACATATTTGCAAATTGATATATAACATGTTTAATTAATGTACATTTACTTCCTTTTCTAAGCTGTTTCCTACTGTGTAACTTTTGTCTAACTTTTTATTTTATATTTTTGGGGAGGTCTGGTCGTGGGCCTGACCTCTGGGCCTGGGCACTGTCCCTCAGCTCTTCAGCTCAAGGCTAGCGCTTTACCACTTAAGCCACAGCACCACTTCCGGCTTTTTTTCCTGCTTATGTGGTGCTGAGGAATCGAACCCAGGGCCTCACGCATGCAAGGCAAACGCTCTACCACTGAGCCACCTTCCCAGCCCTGTCTAACTTTTTAAGTGATAACACTTGTTTGAGTGGCTGGATATCAGGTAAACCGTAGGATCTCCGAAGATTACATTATCATCTGGCCATCAGTATACCTGTTGTTTTCCCATGTTGGGGCTTAATATTAAGATGACTGGTGCTTATTTTGCTAAAGCAGTACATTTTGGGGAGAATTTTCTAGGAGCAAAGGAGTTGGTGAGTCCATGCCACTAAAGTAACTGCATTTCTCAGTCTTCAGGCTGCTTAGGATAACTTCCTTAGCAGAAGAAAGGACTTAGATGTTCTAGGACTTAGCTTGTTCTAAAATGGCATCCAGACTTTACTAGACTCTTCCATTCCATGCTATCTGTATGGACTTCTTTTTTATATAAAAAGAAGGGTCATTATCCCTCATGGCTTATAATTAAATGACTCAGCTTCCTTACTTGATTTTGTCATTAAAATTACTTAAGTGTCTGACTTCTTTTTTTAAAAAAAAAAAAAGCATCAGAGGCCTGGCTCAATAAGTAAAGTACCAGTTGTGAGCCCAAGAAAGCCCGAAGAGTGCAGTTGTAAGGCTCTAAATGTAAGCTCTGGTACCAGTACCGAACAAAAGTATTAGAAATGAGAAGTGTGTTCTTTTCACCCTAGCCCGACACTTATGACATGATGGTTCGTGAGCTTGGCTTTGAAATGAAAGCCCAGCCCTCTAACCGGATGAAAACAGAGGAGGAACTGGCGAAGGAGGAACAGGAGCGACTCAAGAAGCTGGAGGTATGGAGGGGCTCGCCTCCCTTTGCCAGATGAGTGCTGCCTTTCTCTCAGAGGCTTTTTGGACCTTATTTTGAAAAATGGAATAAAGCTGTACTATGTTTAAAGTGATTATTCATTCAATCATAAATACCTTTATTTCTTATTACAAAAACAAGTAAAATGCAGATCTATCCAAGAACACCAAATCAAAAATGGACATACTTTATAATTCCTCTTCTCCAAAATAGTTGCTAACAATATAGTGAGGGAGGGTATTGCTTTCTAAACATTCCTGTGTGCTGGAGTATTTTTAATTCCATTGCGTCTAAACCAGATCCCAGTCTTCTTCCACAGCTGTGGTTGTGGGGAGATTTGCTGGCCTAATCTTGTGGGTTTCCTCCACACTGCTCTCAGTGCAGCAGAGGACAGGTTTTCCTTCTCTGTAACTGGAGAGTATTTCTGTCCCAAGATTTAATAGTTTGTTTTTGTTAAATAAGGATGTCTTCCAAGGAATGTCTGTCTAGTGTTGTGTGTTGGAAGACTCAAGCAGAAAGCAGGTCGTGTGTCCCCTCAGAGTACGTGGGCTGTAGGCCTCCTCTTCAAGCAATTCATGGGTATGCTATGTGACTCTCATTCCTTCCTGTCCAGGCTGAAAGACTTCGAAGAATGCTTGCAAAGGATGAGGATGAAAATGTGAAGAAACCAAAGCATATATCAGCAGATGATTTAAACGATGGCTTCATACTAGATAAGGACGATAGACATATGCTCTCTTACAAAGTAAGGTGTTTGGCTTCATTTTCTTTTTTGTTCCAAAACATTGGAATTTATGAATTTAATGATGGGGTTCATTTCAGATGGGAAATTTAGATCTTTTAAAAATAAGTTATTGTTGTTATTAAGGTGTTGTGCCAGGGGTTCCCATTCCATAGAATTTTCGGTCTTTTTAAACACTGCTTCAAAAGGCATGGCGAATCAGCTGTGTCAGACTTCTTGGGGACTCCCATAGCAGCAGTGGTTTGAGGTAGAGCACAGATAATAAACTGCATAGACTTTTTTTTTTTTTTTTGCCAGTCCTGGGGCTTAAACTCAGGACCTGGGCACTGTCCCTGAGCTTCTTTTGCTCAAGTCTAGCTACAGTGCCACTTCTGGCCTTTTCTGTGTATTTGGTACTGAGGAATTGAACCCAGGGCTTTATGCATGCTAGGCAAGCACTCTACCACCAAGCTACATTCCCAGCTGTGATGTAGGTTTTAACTACTTACTTGTACAATGTCAACACAGTGTTGGGGAGCTAACTCAAGGTTAGAATTCAGATTTTTTTTGTGGGGGGGTCCAGTTGTGGGGCCTGAACTCGGCTGGGCACCGTCCCTCAGCTCTTCAGCTCAAGGCTAGTGTTCTACCACTTGAGCCACAGCGCCACTTCCAGCTTTTTTGTTTTTGCTTATGAGGAATGGAACCCAGGGCCTCAGGCATGCAAGGCAAGTGCTCTACCACTGAGCCACCTTCCCAGCCCAGAATTCTGATTATTTTTGAATGAAATGACAAGTTTCTATACTGGTGCAGTTTCTTTGATTTTTTTTTTTTTTTCTGCTGTGCCCATGGCCTTGTTTATGCTAGGCAAACACTGCCACTGAGCCACATTCCAGCTATAGTGGAATTTTTGTTTTTATTTTATGCCAGTCCTGGGGCTTGAACTCAAGGCCTGGGTTCTGTCCATGAGGTTTTTACCTTACGGCTAGTGTTGTAGGGCTTGAGCCACTGCTCCACTTCAAGACTTCTATGTGGGGGAGGGGGCAGAGTAGAATGATTGACTTTCCTGCCTGTGCTGGCTTCTGTGATCCTCAGAGCTCAGCCTCTTGAGTAGTTAGGATTACAGGTGTGAGCCACCAGTGCCCATGCTAGTGGTTTTTAAGTTATAAGGTCTCTAGTCTTCTTTCCTTTCAGATTGTATCAATCAGACCTAAGGGCAGAAAAACAGGCAGATCTGGTGTTTTGAGAAGAAAGGGTCTAAGAAAACTGGGTATTGACAAAAAACACTAGGATATCAGAGCAGTGGGGAAAGGACCTGGAACTTCCCCTTTCCTCGCTCGGGAGCCGGTGGGCGCACACTGCAGGCCCTCACCGCTGCCGATACCCTGGCCACTAGATGCCTTCTTGGATCCATGCAGCTCCCTAATAAAACCTAAATGTCCCCCAGAGTCCTGGCAACTGTGCTCTTTGGGAGACTGTATCCATTAACTCTTTGGTACTGTAACAGTAGACCTGAGGTTCAGTAAAATTATAAAGAGGGTTATGTAACTCACACAGGGGTTGGCCCTGTGACGGTGGATGTTACCGTTACTAGGTGGGCATGGTGTTTTGGTGCACACCCATCTAGCCGGGGTGTCAGCCTGTGTCGTGATGCCCAGGGGTCTCCATGTTCTATCCAGGATGGAAAGATGAATATTGAGGAAAACGTCCAGGAAGAGCAGAGCAGGGAGGCTGGTGGCCGAGACAGTGAAGAAGAAGAGGACCAAGATGAGAGCAGTGAGGATGAGGGAGAAGGTGAGCGTGGCGAGGCCCACACAGAGAGCGATGGCGCAGACAGCCACGCAGACCTGGAATCAGACAGAGAGAGCGATGGCGAAGATGAGAAGCCAGAAGAAGAGCAGCAGCAGCCTCCTGGGAAGAGATTGACACGTGACCATCAGAAAACTCGAAAAGCTGCCAGCTCTGAGCTGCCCTATACCTTTGCAGGTAGAACAACCATTAGGTTTTCCTGATTCTGGATAAGGTCTGTGACATGGGCTTGGCATGCACACATGGTCTCTCCCTGGGGTGGTGCATGCGAAGTGGGGACCAGGATGCACCTGTAAGTGTGCAGAGGGCTGTCCTGTGACAGCTCTGCTGTAAATGGGTGAGGTCACTGAGGTACTTGGCACAAGGGTTGGGTTTGCCTTGGTTGTGTGACTGTATTTATGTGGGCTGCCTACAAGGCACACCTTGCTTCCATGGCTGTGACTTTGTGTTCTCTGTGGCCAGCCCCCACGAATTGTCTCTTGGCTGTAGGGATCACGTTGTCTGCCACCTCAGGGGCTGTGCTTGTGGTCCCGTGCCTAACGTTTCTCCCACACAAGACAACTAGAGTGACCCCACCTCTCCAGGATGTCACTGCTTAGCTCCACCGCTCCTTCCAGCTTGCCTGACATCAGGGCATGGGGATCAGCCCTTGGCCTGCCGGCACATATGCAATAGAAAGGGCAGGCATTGGCCAAGCTGTCTGTGGAGCTTGGCACTTTCACATAGCTCAAACAGGGCCAAACTCCTAGGATGTTCGTGATGATGGGATGTGAAACACACACAAAGTACATGTTAGTTAAATTGTCGTCGTTTTAAGTAGAAGCAATTTCACTGTGCAGAAGCGTGCATGTTGACCATTGAATGATACTGAGGCAGGCTCTTTTCCCACAGCTCCTGAGTCCTATGAGGAGCTGAGGGCTTTGCTGTCAGGAAGATCTGCGGCAGAGCAGCTGCTGGTGGTGGAGAGAATCCAGAAGTGCAACCATCCAAGTCTGGCCGCAGGAAACAAAGCAAAGTTAGAAGTATGTGCGATCGACGTATCCTGTGAGCTCACCGCTGCTTGCAGGTGCCTTGAGCCCTGGCCTGGACCTCCCTGCCCCTTGGTGTCAGTGTGGTGATTGCTGGGGGCGGGGGGAGGTACCTAGTCTGGAGCAAACAGAACTCCTGCATGGCCCAGGAGGCTAAAGCCAGCCCAAGCAGCCTGTGAGGCTGTATCTCTATAAACTGCTCAGAAAAAGCTGCAAGTGGAGCTGTCGCTCAAGTGGTAGAGTTCTGTCCTTGAGCAAAAGAAGCTCAGAGATAGTACCCACGCCCTGAGTTCAAGCCCCAGGACAGCACCCAAAAAAAAAAAAGGCTTAACTGGCTCTGAAAGTAAATGACACATGTCTGTTGTAAACAGGTCACTGCATGAATGAAAACAATGTTTCCTTAAGTGTAAATACTTCAGCATTGCATGATTTCTCTCCCATCTCCCCATGTCAGTACTGTTCATTACCTTGTTGTTTAGTTTTTCTGCTCTGCCACTTGAGTCATGCTCCAACTTCTGCCTTTTTGCTGGTTGTTTGGAGATAGAGTCTTGAGAATTTGTATCCTTAGGTTTTCTCTGAGTAACTAGAAGTATATGCGTGAGGTCCTAAGACCCAGCCATTTGTGTTTTTAATAGAGAGTCTCCAGCTTTCACGATCTCATACCTCAGCCTCCTGAGTGCTGGGGTCTGGGTGTGACCGCCATGCTCAGCTTCCCATTCGGGTTTAGCAGTGATGTACTGCCTGCTGTTCCATGCACACATAGCCTGGTCCTCCGTGTAGTAGTGTCTTCCCTTGTGTCTGGTGCTGGTGCCCATCTCCCCCGGGTATTGAACGCCGCTGGTCAGGGGTCCTATGCCCATGTGCCCGCGTGCCCGCCGCCTTCTGTCTTGGGCACTTGTCACAACTCTCCTGATTGATGTTCTTGTAGAAACTGTTTGGCTTCCTTTTGGAATACATTGGCGATTTGGCAATGAATGATCCACCAGACCTCCAAGTAATTGATAAATTGGTAGTGTAAGTAAAAACTTTTTTGTTACCAGGGATGAGGGACTGAGTTGGATCTTTTTTCTCTGGGTATGCATTTTGGAATCATAGAGGCAAAGGAAATAGTGGTGTGAACCTAGTGAGTGGCTGAATTGCCCCTCAGAAGTGGTGCACGCGGCCAACTGTACGAACCCACAGTGACAAAGGACAAGCACGCGGCTACTGCCCAGACGCCACCCTCCCGGATGGGCCCCATTCTTTAGCTTGAGCAGGTTCACTTGACAGCCCCTGCGCCTTCAGTTGCAGTCCAAATAGCTTATTGTTTGTTTGGCTCACCAGTGAAGCTTTAAGCTCTGGGTGGCTAAGGGGGCTTGCCACTATGGGCGCCTCAGCACCAACTCCACACCTGGTGGGGCGCAGCAGGTGTGGCAGTGCAGGAGCGGAAGCTCTCTCAGGGAAGCATGTCCTTTGTCCCGTACGGGGACAGCTAGCACTGTACTAGAAGCCAGCCACCCTTGTGGCTCCAGGCTCCCGGTTCTCTAGTGGCTGTTAGAGCGCCAAAGGGCGGAGAGTCTGTGCACCTGCAGCCGGTGAGAACCTGTGCCTGCCATGAGACCGCCCCCTGCCCGGACTGCACAACCCGTGTCTCCCTGTAGGTTTCTGCATGTAGAGAAAAGAGCAAGTAGAGTGCTGTGTCGGGCTCAGAAGTTTCCCAACAGTGGTAATACTCCAAACTCAGGCTTTAAAACATTTTCAGGAAAAGGCAAAGATGAATGTAGATCATCTTAAAATGCTATCAGAAGAAATTACCTCATAACCAGGAAGCTCAGCTGATCCTAGGAAGAGGAGGAGGAGGGCACACATCAGGCCAGGGTCAGCTGAGAGTCCATCTGACATGCACAAGGCCTTGGCTCAGTCCCCAGCACACACACAAGTTACAAGTGGATTCATCCAGAGATGTGTTGTGGTGTGACTCCTCCTCTCCTGACCTGTGCTTCTGCTTAACAGGCAGTTATACAATCTTTGTCAGATGTTTCCGGAAACTGCGAGTGACTCCATCAAATTTGTTCTCCGAGACGCAATGCACGACATGGAAGAAATGCTTGAGGCCAAAGGTCGGACGGTGTTTCCAGGTTTGGATGTGGTAAGCGGGCACTGAAGTCAGGTCGGGCTGGCGTCAGACAATGTGCACGGTATGCCAGGGCCACCTGTCCCTGGGCACTCCAGAGTGGTCCCGGGAGGACCGAGAGACCTGGAGGAGGGCTCACCCCAGCACGAGCTCAAGTGGAATGGAAAGCATGGCTTACTTTCACGTGAATGGACACGGCAAAGGTGCTTTAAGACGAACAGCAGCACTGGGCTCCTGGGACCCAGCCCACGCAGCCTGTAAGCAGCTAGGTGAGATTTTTTTTGTTTTTTGCCAGCCCTAAGGCTTGAACTCTGCTAGGCGCTGTCCATGTGTTCCTTTTGCTCACAGCACGATATCACTTGAGCAAAAGTACCACTTCTGGTTTTTTCTGTGGTTTAACTAGAGATAATTGTCACACTTTCCCTTTTCTGCCCAGGCTGGCTTCCAACTGTGCTGCTGAGTAACTAGGATTACAGGTTTGAGCCACTGGTACCTGGCATGAGTAGCTAGTTTTGTTTGGTTCCTATTTTTCTCTCTGCTCGCTCTCATGTTGAGGGTTTTTACTTTTGTTGTTTTTTTGTTTTTCAGTTCTGGGGCCTGAACTCTGGGCCTGGGCACTGTCCCTGAGCTCTTCAGCTCAAGGCTAGTGCTCTACCACTTGAGCCACAGCACCACATCCAGTTTTCTGGTGATTAATTGGAGATTAGAGCTTCATGGATTTTCCTACCCGGGTTGGCTTTGGGCTGGCTTTGAACCGCAATCCTCAAATCTCAGCCTCCTTAGTAGCTAGGATTATAGGTGTGAGCCACTGGCACACAGCTTCATGTTGAGATTTTTTTGTGTGTAGGTGTATGTATGTGGGTGGGTGCGTTAGTCCTGGGGCTTGCATTCAGGTGCTGTCCCTGAACTTTTCATTCAAAGCTGATGCTCTATCACTTGAGCTACAGCTCCACTTCCAGCTTTTTGGTGGTTAATTGAAGGTAAATCTCACACATTTTCCTGCCTAGGCTGGTTTCTAATCAATATCTTCAAGTCTTAGCCTCCATTTCTGGATGATTTCTTGTGTGTGTACTGGTCCTGGGGCTTGAACTCAAGGTCCGTGGGCTGTCCTTGAGCCTTTTTTTGTTTTGTTTTGTCGGTTATGGGGCCTGAACTCTGGGCCTGGGCACTCTCCCTGAGCTCTTCAGCTCAAGGCTAGCACTCTACACTTGACCACAGCGCCACTTCTGGCTTTTTCTGCTTATGTGGTGCTAAGGAATCCAACCCAGAGCCTTATGCATGCAAGGCAAGCACTCTACCACTGAGCCACCTTCCCAGCCCTTGAGTTGTTTTTTTTTTGTGTTTTTGTTTATTTGTTATCAGGTCTAGCACCCTACCACTTAAGCCATAGCTCCATTAATGGTTTTTTGGTAGTTAATTATAAAGAGGAATTTCCAAATAGTGATCCTCAGATCTCTGCCTTCTGAGTAGTTAGGATTACTGGCACCCAGCCTGGAAAAACAATTATTAAAAGTTGAAGTGATTCAAGCCCCAGGATGGGCGAAAACAAAGGACTCCGGGAAAATGAGTAGTGTATTTTGAGTATTCACTCAGAAAGCCAGCTCTCGCAAAATCTTTTTCTAATCCTCTGTGTATGCTTGGACACCCATACATGGAGGAGGAAAGTAAGGCTCAGGGAACTTGCCAGCGGGCAGCTGCCCCAGGATCCTGTCCCCAGGTAGACTCTTGGGTGCTCAGTACTGGCCACCAGGGCCACCGAGGCGGTCATTGCCTCTGAGCACACTGTGAGTCCCTTTTTTTTTTTTTTTTGGTTGTTCATGGGGCTTGAACTCTGGGCCTGGGCACAGCTCAAAGCAAGCACTCTGCCACTTGAGCGCGGCCGCTCTGGAGCAGCTCTCTCCTGTTGGCAGGATGAGGTGTTGAGGCCAGGCGTGGGCGAGGGCCTTTTGGGAGGCAGGTGCTGTGCCTCCTGTGGGCTTTGTGGGGAACCAGACACGAATCTCAGAGCAGAACCGGGTGTTGCATGGCAGGACTTGCCAGGGCCTACCTGCTGCCACCTTCCAGACTGAGACCCGGGCCCCAAGGGCCATGGTGCCAGGCGCAGAGCTCGGGTTCAAATGGCCCCAGTGCAGGTTTTCCTGGGAGGGGTGGAGGTGGCGAAGTATGGCTTCTATCATACTCGCCATAATCTAAAAAATGATGCTTTTTATCACCAGGACCTTAGGAAACCAATTCTGTTGTTGAGCCCTTTTGAGTGACTTTATTTTAACTTTATTTTCTCTTAATTGTAATCTGTGTGGTCAACCTTTCCCTCCAGCTAATTTACTTGAAGATTACTGGGCTGCTGTTCCCGACCTCTGACTTCTGGCATCCGGTGGTGACTCCTGCCCTGGTGTGCATGAGCCAACTGCTTACTAAGGTATGTGCCGCACACTCGTCCGTAACCGTGCCAGACCGAGCCTGCATCCCACACACTCATCCCTCAGCCGTGCCAGACCGAGCCTGCATCCCTCACACTCCTCCCTCAGCCATACCAGACTGAGCCTGCATCCCGCACACTCATCCCTCAGCCGTGCCAGACCGAGCCTGCATCCCGCACACTCTTCCCTAACTGTGCCAGACTGAGCCTGCATCCCGCACAGCATCCCGCACACTCGTCCCTAACCGTGCCAGACTGAGCCTGCATCCCGCACACTCGTCCCTAACCATGCCAGACCGAGCCTGCATCCCACACACTCGTCCTTCAGCCGTGCCAGACCGAGCCTGCATCCCACACACTCGTCCTTCAGCCGTGCCAGACCGAGCCTGCATCCCGCACACTCGTCCCTAACCATGCCAGACCGAGCCTGCATCCCACACACTCGTCCTTCAGCCGTGCCAGACCGAGCCTGCATCCCACACACTCGTCCTTCAGCCGTGCCAGACCGAGCCTGCATCCCACACTCGTCCCTAACTGTGCCAGACCGAGCCTGCATCCCACACACTCGTCCCTAACTGTGCCAGACCGAGCCTGCATCCCACACACTCGTCCCTCAGCCATGCCAGACCGAGCCTGCATCCCACACACTCGTCCCTCAACCGTGCCAGACTGAGCCTGCATCCCACACACTCGTCCCTCAACCGTGCCAGACCGAGCCTGCATCCCACACACTCGTCCCTAACCGTGCCAGACCGAGCCTGCATCCCACACGGGGTGTGGCTGGGAGCAAGAGCTAGTTCCCAAAAAACCCAAAGCCAAGAGAGGCTGCTGACTGAAGACCAGCGCGAGGCACCTGCCCGAACCGGGCGGGGAGGCCTGAGGGCTCCGCGTGTCTGGGTCAGCAGGGCCAGCTGTCCTCTGTCAGCCAGCTCCTCACACGGGGTGGGTGGGGGCTAAAGGTTAGCCGATCCTTTCCTATGTTCGTACCTGAGTATTTTAGGGTTGCCTTTCCCTGCATGTAGACAGGCTGTTTATTGGGGCTCATTTCCTCTGTGGTGACCGTGGAGTGTGCAGGTCTCCGAGAAGCCAGTTCCAGAATGCATGGCACAGGTAGGTGCATGGCCTGCCAGTGAGTGTCCTCTCTGACTCCTCCACAGTGCCCGGTCCTGACCCTCCCTGACGTGGTCAAGGGCTTGTTCGTGTGCTGCCTCTTCCTGGATTACGTGGCTCTGTCTCGGAGGTTCATCCCAGAGCTTATTAATTTTCTTCTGGGGATTCTTTACATAGCAACTCCAAACAAGCAAAGCCAAGGTGAGTTGATTTGCCAGAATGTTTGAACTTTGGGATTCTCTCTTAAGAGAATCCATATTTATTAGAGCAGGTTTGGCCAATGGAAAAGTAGAAAATAGATAAACTCTTGAATTCCTGCCATGAAGAGCAGCATTCGTGTTGTCCGGGTGAGAGCGTGTATGTGTGTGCATGCTCGCAGACAAAGCGTATGACACCAGAGGCCAGCTTCACGCGTGAGTGTGAAACACGACAAAAGTAGTTAAGAGACTTGCACCCTGTCGCAGGGAGCTTTAAATGTTGAAAGAATCACATTTTGAGCTAAACAAATACATTGTACGCATGAATTTCACGTTATCTCCGGGGGAGAGGTGCCCAGGGTCAAGACCTGGCCTTGTGCCCCTGGTGGCGCTGAGACAGCCCCTGCTGCCCAGCCTCAGACCCCTGAGCTCCACACCTTTCACTCCATCTCCCATGGAGGCTGAGACCTGGAGGACCAAACCCGCCCATACTGGGAAGTCTTCAAGACTCTGCCTTCAGTTAACCAACAAAATGCTGGGCTGGAGGTGTGGCTCCAGTGGTAGAGCATGGCTGTGAGCAAAAAAGCCAAATGAAAGCATGAGGCCTTGAGTTCAAGCCCTGATCCTAGCAAAAACAAAAACAAAATGAAACATCTTGGACTCGAGATCCTGTTTCAAGTCCCAAACAGCGAGGAGAAAGGGCATGCACGGCTGTGTCGGGCTCTTTGTGCTTTTTGGGGCTTTTCTGTGAGTCCTGGGGCTTGAATTTGCTCTACTGCTTGAGCCACACCTGCACTTCAGGGATCTGCCTGCTCAGGCTTTGGAGTGTGACCCTCGGCTCTCAGCCTCAGAGTAGCTAGGGTTACAGGCATGAGCCACTGGTGCCAAGCTTGTTTTTGTTTTTTGGAACCAGTAGTGAACTTAGTACTTGACCTCAGGACTTGGTGCTCTCACTCTGCTTTTTCCCCTCACAGCTGGCACTGTATAATTTAAGCCATGCCTCTGAGTCTCATAGACTGATCTCTGCCTAGCTTTGAACCTCAGTCCTCATATCTCAGCCTTTTGAGTAGCCATGGGATGGCAGGCAGGCGCCTGGCACCTGTCTCAAGGATTTTATGTGGCAACTGGATCATCTGCCTGTTGTTATATATCAGGCCTGGTAGGGAGGGGGGGCACAGCCAGCACCGGGACTCCCGGCTTCAGCTCCGGGGCATGCCTTTGGCGGGCCTGGGCCTGGCCACGCCACGCTGGCTGCTTCCGTGTCCCTCCTGGTGACCAGGGTGAGCTGTCAGCACATCCTGGGTCTTTGCCGGCCTTCCTCTTGCACATTCTGACCTTTGACCTTGCGGTGCTGCCTCTTCTGCTTATCTCCTGGCCTCCCTCTTCTGCTCTCTCCTGTTCTCGCCACTGAGGCAAGGGCCAGCCTGTGGACTTGGTCACGGCCCAGTACCACAGCCTCCTGCAACACACAGTAGGTCCACAGGAATGACAGGGCCACCGGTTTCCAAGAGCATGTTCCCACCGCCCTTGCCAAAGTTTTTCGGCTCTGCCCAGTTCCCCCGGTGTGTGGCATGACCGGGGCCAAGAAGCCTGCTGCCTCCGGTCACCTCCGTCCTGTTGCCTTGGGATCCAGGTTTCACTCCGGTGCACCCTTTCCGAGCGCTTGCGAAGAACTCGGAGCTGCTCTTGGTCTCCGACACGGCAGCCGCGGCCGCGTGGCAGGGGGGAGGCCTCTCCCTGCGCTGGGCCTCGGGGCACAGCGCCCTGCCGTTGGCGGAGGCCAATCACGCCAGGTACGTGCGGCACGCCCCAGGGCAGCCTTTCACTTACTGCCAGAAATTCCCTTGTTTTCAGCTCCTTTACCTCAGGACTGTGGCTGTGTCGGGTTAACTCCTGTCTGGGCCATGTTGATACTGTGTGGACGGTTTTCTCCATTGGGAGAAAAAACCAAATTCACAGCATTTTTTCAGGTCAACTCCCCGGCGTCCACAGGGAGTCTTTGGGATGACGGCCTGCGGGGGGGGGGTTGGGGGGGGAGGACCCGGGGGCTTCCGGGGTGTGGGGGGGGATTTCCATTTTGCCAGATGTGTGGTTTCCCCGTGAGGAAGGTAGCATGCCCTGATGCCCACACTGCCTCCTGCCCTTGCAGACTGTCCTGCGTGGCCGTGTGCCTGGCGCTGCTAAGGCGCTGCGTGCTCCTCTACAGCCCCCTGCCGTCCTTCCGCGCCATCTCCAGGCCCCTGCGAGTCCTCCTGACGGAGCATCTGGCGGGCAGCGGCCACCCCCCCCAGCTGCAGGTGACGCGTCCAGGCCACGGGGTGGGCGGCCTGCTCACAGGAAAGGGGTGGGAAGCTGCGCATGAGCCCCCTCTGGTGCCGCACTGCAGCCCTGAGCTCCAGGGGTGTCCAGTCCTGTCCCCACACCACGGCTTCCACCTGGGGTGCGGGGGTGGGTGTCCCCGCCTCACCGTCTAGAACCACATGGGCTTGGCCAAGCTTAAGGGGAGGAGGCTGCCTAGTACCTGCCTTCTCATCTAGCATCCACTTACGTGAGCACGCTGGGGCTTGTCCCTGCGTGGCAGAGCGCCCCCTCCTTTTCTCCACATTCAGTGTGGCGGTGAGGCAGAGCAAGCTCCGCAGCTTCGGGGGCTCGGCCGGAGCTGTGAGGAAAGGGGTCAACTGATCTCTGAGCTGGTTTCTGGAATATTCCTCCAAAGGGCATGGTGGTACCAGGAAGCCAGGGCCTTGGTGCGGGGTGCTGTTGGAATGAGGATTAGTCCGAAACTTGGCAGAAACCTCGCCATGTGGTGCCCGCCACTGCACTCGGCCAAGCCGCGGCGAGCCCCGGCACTGCGGAGCAGGGCGCGGTGCGCAGGCGGGCTGTGCACCCCTCCTGCTTCCAGGGTTCAGGGTCAGAAGGGGGTCTGGAAGACGGCAACCATGTTGCACCCCGCCCACGGCACCCAGGGGTGGGGCTGCCGGGCCGGCAGGGCTGCGTGGGCTCTGGCAGCCTGGGGCCCGCAGCCACCGGTGTGGCCGGCGGGAGACGTTGCGGTGACATCCGGGGCCACGCGCCCACACTTCACAGGAGCTGTCTCGAAGCATCCTGGCAGAAATGGAAACGCAAAAGCAGCTGTACCGGCCCCTGGTCTGCGAGAAGAGCAAGCCAGTCCCGCTGAAGCTCTTCACCCCCCGCCTGGTCAAAGTGTGAGCGCCGGAGTCCCCTGGGGCGTCCCCGGGTTGGCCGAGGTGGGGCTCCGGCCGCAGGGCCTGGCACGTGCGCATCCTCACTGCCCACTGCCACTCCAGCCTCGAGTTTGGACGGAAGCAGGGCAGCAGCAGGGAGGAGCAGGACAGGAGGCGGCTGGTCCACAGGCACAAGCGGGAGTTCAAAGGCGCTGTCCGGGAAATCCGGAAGGACAACCAGTTCCTGGCCAGGATGCAGCTCTCAGAGATGATGGAGCGGTGAGCGCGCTGCTGGCGGGCCGCGCTGCCCTGGTGGGGGGTGGGGAGGCCAGAGCTGGGGGGTCTGCGTCTGCCCCCTCCATCTTGGGCTGGGCACAGTAAGTGCCGCAGGCTGTTGGGAAAGGCCAGGCGTCCCTGGGAAAGGAGCCCACGAGCAAGATTTGCTTCCTTTTCCGTTCAGGGATGCCGAGAGAAAGCGGAAAGTGAAGCAGCTGTTTAACAGCCTGGCCACCCAGGAGGGCGAGTGGAAGGCTCTGAAGAGGAAAAAGTTTAAAAAATAAACTACATTGCAGTAGAAGCTGGGGTGCATTTATCAGGAACACAGTCACGGGGCGGGGCGGGGGTCTCTGCGCGCTGCCTCCTGCTGAGGCCTGGGTTCCAAAGCCAGTTTCTGGAATTAGCGGGTCACTGCTGGTGACATTTTGGTTCACCACGGGTCATGCAGCCTATGGGCTTCTCGGGGCCAGACCCATTGAGTGCTGAGACGGAAGATGGGGCTGGACGGCTCGTCCAGATGGGGCCTTGTTTCTCCAGAGGTTGGTGGGGATGAAGAGGGCTTGGTTTTGGATGTGGTGGGGCAGGGGCAGTGCAGAGTGAGCAGCCCTGCTGCCTTCAGGACATCAGGGACATCAGCATGGAGGGCTGCAGCCCAGCCGTGGTCTGCACCACTGGAGGAGCCATGTGTCTAGAACCTTCCTTGGAGGTGTCTCCCTGGTCAGCATAGCCCAGGGCATCCTGGGTTTGCAGCCCTCACCTAGCACCCCTTCCCAGCACCCCTTCCCATTCTCTGGGGACAGGACTAAGTCTGGAGCGCTGCACATGGCTTTGCTGTCTGGATTCAAGATCACCACGGTCGACATTCACCCAGCTGTAGCAGGATGGACAAGACCAAGGGGGAGCAATGGGACCAAGCCGGGTGCGGGGTGGTCTGCTCCAGGCCTCGTGGTGCAGTTCATAGGGATGGGTGTGCCAGCAGCATGCTTGGGGTGGCAGGCCGGGGAGGACGGTCCCCTCTGCCTGGAGCCCCCGGGGTGGCAGGCCGGGGAGGACGGTCCCCTCTGCCTGGAGCCCCCGGGGTGGCAGGCCGGGGAGGACGGTCCCCTCTCCCTGGAGCCACCGGGGTGGCAGGCCGGGAGGACGGTCCCCTCTCCCTGGAGCCACCGGGGTGGCAGGCCGGGAGGACTGCGCCAGGGCGCCGCTGGGTCAGCGGGGCGCTTGGTCACTTCTCCGCTGCGGGTCGGCTAGGCCCCAGGCCGCTGCCACGCCGGGCGCCCAGCTCAGCTCACCCGAGGCCTTGGGCTCCCGGCCGCTCGTGGAAGGCGGGGCCCAAAAGGCCCGGCCAGCAGGGCGAGGCTCGGACAGGATGG